TTGGGGATGTCGGCAAGAAGGTATTCGCTAACGGCCTTTTGTCGCTCCATTTCATCAGAGGAGATGGCAACGGTAACTTTAGTGCCGAGGCGGATTGCTGGTAGAGCTGTTGATGGGTTGGCTGGATCGTAAGAGGACGCCTCGGCACTTAGACGTCTTCGGCTACGAGTCCTTCCTGCTGGTGCAAAAAGTGGAGTTCGATATCAGCATTGAGAATGTGGGATCAGTTGTGGATTAGAGGTTGATGGTTGCTCCACAGGACCAGATGTTGATCCTTGGTCTGGCCTTGATGATTCAACTTAAAGAGTTGTTGCTGAATGAGGAGACTTGCTTTTTCTTGGAACGTCAGAAAGAACAAACTTGTAAGTCGAGATGTAGTTGAGCAGCAAAGGGGCTTTGCGCTGGTTAACTGGCAGACCCAACAGCTTCTTAAAATCCTTGTTGGGATAGAAGTTTTTTGCGAAAATCCTTCGGAGGTTGAGGAAGAGCTACAAGTAAAAAATAGACATTAGAATATTTAGAAAGGACAAAGTATTAAAGACTTGAGAAGCAAGTAAAAGTAACACTTGGCTCTTATCGTCTTTCTCTCTGAACAATGTACGGCTTAAAGGGTAGATGTGAAGGTCATCATCTGGAAGGAACTCCCAGTTGCTCGAGACGATGAAATAATCGTCTCCGGTGCCCTTGTTGGAATCAGGGAGGTCGGTGAAGAGTTTATATTCTGTCGACCTCGGCTTAAGGTAGTAAATGTAACCTTTTTCTGACTTAAGGCCATACATGGTGTAGCAGTACTGGATGTCGGCTAGAGTTACCCTAGTATTCTCTCGACTAGCTAAGACAATGATATCGTTGATGACTCTGTAAGAGTTAATGGTTAATTGCATTGGGTTGAGTTTATAATAGTGAAAGACTTCTCGGAAAAGGATGTTAAGAGGGAGCCTAAGTCCACACTCTATGAAGGCTACTACTGGGAATGGCATGGAGTCGTCTTTGGGCATGATGGAGTCCTCCTCCCCAGCCAACCTGAGATGAACGTCAACAGGGATGGAAAACTCCTGCCTAAAGTATGCTAGCTTAGTTAGGGTGTCTACCCTCCACCTGAACATACCCATAACGTCGGCTAAGTGTGGGAGGTGTTGGATTTTAGAAAGAAGTGGTTTGTTAGGGTTTAAAGGACCTTGGCTAAAACCTAAACGTGTGCTAAGGCGAATTTTTCTGAAGATCAAAAGGGTTTTAGGTTCGGTTTTCCTAAAGATCAAGTTTCTAGAGCAAATCCCAAGCCTAAGACTATGGAAACAAGAATTGAGGGCAAGAATCTAGAAAAAGACACAGAAAATAGAGAGAAGAATATGATTCAGGCTCAATAAGACAAACAAGAAATCAAAGAACACTGAATAAGTTTGTGCAGGTGTGCGAGGTCAGGATTAGTGGCGAAATAAACAAGTGTATGTACAAATTGTATAAAAATGTCATGACTCAAGAACAGATTGGACAAAGCGCAAAAAATTGCAAGACAGGACATGCTCAAAATATACGAATGATAAAGTTTGAAGCACAGATAAAGATTGGAGAACATGAAGACATTCACCATGGCAATAGACAAAAACAATGGAGTTTGAAACTAAAAGAGGAGGATGAAACAATGACTTCCTACAAAAAATGACGTCGATATGAGATTCACCGGAGTCTGAGGGTGTAAATAAGTAGCGTAGAGCGGAGAGAGCTTCGCCGAAAGAGACAAACGGAGTAATTGCAGAGAGCTTCGAAGGAACGAAAATGGCGGTTTGAGAAATTTCCAAAGAGAGAAAACTTGAAGCACAGAGAGAAATCAGAAAACGTGAAGTGAAAAGACAAAGAGAGAGGGAAGTGATTTTGTCAAAACACGAAAATGCGGCAAATCGCAATTAGTGTGCCTAGGACGACGTGCTTGTCAGATGATGCACGCAAGTGCGATGCGACTTAATGGCACGTGTCAGGTACGGTTCAGTGGGGAAGCGTCGCGTGGCAAAAACGGTTGAATTACTGTGCGTGACAGCTCATACGCGTGTTGAAACTCTTGGAGTTCTTGATTTAATGAAGCAAAGACCTCGGCTATGAGGACGATCTCGGCTAAGAAACTTGAACAAACTTGGTTATTGGTTCTAAAGCATTGATGAGTGTAGACTATAAGTCTTGGTCATATTAAGCCGACGAATGATGACCTCGGTGATGAAGGATAAAGCGAAGTTTAGCTGATGTGCTAAATGAAAGAAATGATATAGGTTTCATCACCTCAAGATACCGAGGTAATAGAACCTAGGGGGCAGTTGTGGGAACATATTTTTTGAATGACAACACGTGGCCAAGGTGGCACTGAAGTGCCAGCCGAGGTGCCACGTGTCCAGGTCATGACGCTGAGGTAATCTCGGCTAGGCCGAGGTTATCTGCGAAGATACCGGAATCCGGGATGAACGGATAAGGGACGAGAGTCCTAGAAAGCGGAAGCACCTCTAACTGGATAACGATAAAGCTCTTAGGGAGTTTATCTTTATCTATTGGAGAGTTCATGATGAGCATTGGGACAGAGTTCGAGAGAAGCAAGGCTTCTACAAGGATCAGGTTAGTACTGGTTATAAAAGTAAGGCACTCTTATAGGTATAAGGTATGTTTTTTGTATTCCGGCTTGTGAGTTAAGTACAATTGGCCATCTTTGAGAGATAACGGACTTAATCGTCGGAGTGCCCCCGGGTGGACGAACCACCGCCAGAATCTTATCTTTTTGTGACAGGTCGTTCGGGCACAATCTATTCCGCCGATGTTCTCCAGTTGAGTACCTATTTGGTAGTGTGGTCAGAAATTGACACACACAATTACTATCTTGATTGGTGACGAATAAGTAGGCTCAATAAAGGTAAAAATTGTGCAACATGTAAAGTTGGGGCTTCAATTCCTATCATATTAGTTTGAGACAATCAATTATATCTCCCTCAACACGAGGTCATCCAAATGAATGAAGACGAGCTAAATTAAGGGATTTGGCTTCACGATTGTGTAGCGCCATTTTGTAGTATGAAATTTCATATTCAACTTTTATGGAGAGCAACTTGATACCCGCTATGGTAGTGGTGTTTACATCTCCTCAATTATAAGGTTGTATGTAGCTAGTAGTTATTGGGCCTATTTTGATGCATATTTCTTATATTTATAATAAGTATCTTCTATCAATTGGGGGAGGGAAAGTGTATAGTTAAATTACTCAAAATTTAAAATGAGGTTTTGACTCTCAAATTATGTTTCAATGAGTACTAAGACCTTATTTGTCATAACCTAAAAAAGTTAAAAAGTCACTATCCTATTTAAGTCACATTATCTTATTTAAGTCACATCACCTCTCTACCAGATCACTTCAAACTCAACCTATATCCAACCCATATTTCATTAAAAATAAAAAAGTACATTTATTTAGATCATCCTAAATCACCCATAATTGTACTAAAATAAAAAATGCACCAGAATCTCCAATCTTTCACCAAAATTTCATCAAATTTGAATTTAAAATTGAGCTAAAAGCCTCATTTGTTATGAACTATTCTAATTTTTTTTTTATCAAATTTTCATCAAAATATTTTTTAAAAATTCTCATCTTGGCCTAAATTTATCTTTTCATAAATTTGATGAAAAAAATAATCTCCAATATTTTTAAATTTTTTGTCAAATTCAAATTTGAGGAAGGATTTGATGAGTTCTCGATTTGGTGGGGGAAAAAAAGAAGACGTTTATTGATTCGACGAACATTTGATAAAAGGATTGGAAATGATTTTTGAATTTTTTTATTAAATTTAAATTTAATAAAAAAAATATGAAAAATTAGAGATGTTCTAAATTAAATTAAATTGATGGTTTAGAAAGAGAAAAAAAAAGTAATACTTTAGAAATACAATATGTAATTAACCATTTACCAAATAATAATAAAAAATTTATCATATGATATAATAAAAAATTTCATAAATTATAACTAAAATATTGTCATAAATAAAGAAAAAAATTGATGATAAGACGAGAATGGCAAAACTAATCAGCGTGGTTGGTTTCAATTTTCTGTAAATTGAGATTTTTGTTTTTTATAAAGAGAAAAAAAAAGTAATACTTTAGAAATAAAATATGTAATTAACCATTTATCAAATAATAATAAAAAAATTATCATATGATATAATAAAAAATTTCATAAATTATAACTAAAATATTGTCATAAATAAAGAAAAAAATTGATGATAAGACGAGAATGGCAAAACTAATCAGCGTGGTTGGTTTCAATTTTCTGTAAATTGAGATTTTTGTTTTTTATATTTTTTATTTTTAGTGAATATTTTAAAAATTTTAAGTATATTTTTTTACTTTTTATATGCACCTTATTTAGATGTATTTAAAAATTATTTTTTTTTGTAAAAAAATATTTTAAAAAACAATAAATACACAAGAATACAAAAAATTTATTAAATTCTCTCTCTCTCTTCTTTTTTAAATATATATTTTGTATTTAGTGAATTTTCTAAAGATGTTTTTTACAAATACTATAATTTTTAAGTATATTTTATGTTTGGTGTGTCTAAAAATTTTAAAAATTGTTTAGAATATTAAAAAAATTCAATAAAAAAATATAAAAAAATAAGAAATTTTAATTTCCTGAAAAGCGAATATTGAAATCTCAAAACAAATAAGTTGAATGATACGGTGTGGGTAGTATATTATGTGGATGTTTGGAAAGTTTGTTATTTTAATTTTTAGTTGTTTTAGTACTTTAAAATTTTTGTGTTTGAAAAGATAGTTAATTTTTTTATAGTTATATTTGATTTTTATGAGAGAAAATATAAAATAATTATGAATTTAATATGACATTTTATCTTATTAATTATTTTAATATTTTTTTGTAAATTTTAGTCCAAAAAATAGCAAAAAAAACCAGTTGCCAAAGCGGGCGTATATTAATTTGGATTTGGATTGGGGTAAAGGATAAAGAATAAAACCCTCCTTAACCCCCCTCCGTCACAAAAACCAATGCCGGGGGGCTGCTCATACAGCTGCAGTAGCACCAGCAGATTTCATGCTACTTCTCTTCCAAAATCTCAATCTATCTATCTATCTATCTATAATTCTGGGAACAAATTGAAAAATTAAAAAATCAAAAGCAATGGACGCTAGAGTAGTAATTCAATGCAGTCCAAACCCAAACCCAAACCCACACCCATTTTTCTTCTCTTCTTCAAGAAGAACACTGCTGCTCAACCAAATCCGTCAAAATCTTCTTTTCTCCAGACCTTTCTCACCACTGCCTTCAAACTACAGACCAAAGCTTTCTCGCCAAAAACAGCTCTTTCCCCGAGCTTTTGCCTCCTCAAATCCAAATGGGCCAGGAGGTTTCTCGTGGCTGAGCTTGTCCCAGTCAATTCGCCGCGCTTCCGAGCGTTTCTTGTCGAAATTTGGCGATTCGGTGAAGAAAGAAACTGGGTTTGATTTGGAAGATGTTAATGTCAGGGTCTCTGGGATCGTGGATCAGATTCAGGAAATGGCAAAGAATGGTGACACTCAGTTTAACCGGTTCAGGTCTGAGTTGGTTCCTGAGTTCATCCATTGGAATAAGTGGGACCGGTGGAAGGTAGTTTCTCCTAATTATTCAATTATGATTTGGTCTTATAGCCTTCTACATTGCTATTTGTGCATTGATTGATAATCTCATAATAGTATTAAGAAACTCAAAATTAGACTTTGTTTTAAACAAAATGGGATTTAAACTTAGGTTCAAACATAATGGGATTATGGGATGGGTCCATTTTCTTGACAACATAGTTGTTTTGTTCTTCTCAGGATGTCAAGAATTGGGATCCTAAAAGAATTGGTGCTTTGGTGCTCTATATTTTTGTTGTGTTATTTTCTTGCCAAAGAGTGTATATGGCATTTCGAGCTCCATCCATAGCCCGTCGAAGAAAAGAATTGACTGATGCATATATGGAGGCATTGATTCCTGACCCAACTCCCACTAATGTTAGGAAGTAAGTGCATTTTGTATCTCACTCATGTCTTGTGTGCAGTGTATCTAATTTAGCTTTTAATCTTGTGCTTGTGTGTATTGCAAAACCAAAAATTATTTACCATGTATCTTCATAATTTAGAAACGCAAATCAGTTTTCTAAATATTGTGACATTGGTATATTACTTTTTTTATTTTTATTTTTTGGTGAGCATGACAGTGGTATAATATGTTGGCGCTGATCAAGCAAAATGATGGCACAAAGATATAAATTTATGACATCTGAAATTAGGTGCCTACTATTTTTTTTGTTTTTGTTTTCGTTTTGATAAATAAATTAGGTGCCTACTATTTATCATTGACCACTATTTAATTGAAGGGAATTTGAAGATTAGTATTTTTTTAATCTCATCTGTTGTTCTAAGTCTCTCTATGTGTGTTTTGGATAAATAAATTGGGTGCCTACTATTTATCACTGACCACTATTTAATTGAAGGGAATTTGAAGATTAGTATTTTTTTAATCTCATCTGTTGTTCTAAGTCTCTCTATGTGTGTTTTGGATAAATAGTTGCTCTGAGGTTTCTATTGTAAAGCTTTCACTAATTGGTGTTTGGCGGTTGTTAATCATTTGTTTGGTTGCTTTGTAAATTTGCTGGAGCTTTTAGATTTCTTCCACCTCCAACACCTTTCAGCTTCCCATCCTCCCTTTCAAACTTTAAATCCTTATAATGTTTGTTACCATCCTGCAATAAGCTCAGTTCATACTTATCTTTGTGGTAAATCTGGAACATCAGCTTTTTCTGATATTATACAGGCTATGATGAAACCTGTATATCTGTAATGTGAGTCAAACCTGAAACTAGCTTAAGCTTTTAGATGATTGATTGAGCTATGATCAAGCACAAGCTAGATATCATGGTTGGATCAACTCCACACACTTCTACATCCAATCCTCACCTACAGCTTTAGATACAAATTACGTGATGAGCCGTTGAAAGGTTGATTATATACCAATTCATTGGCATCTCTGCATAGTATGCATACCTTGGTATTTGGTTTGCTGTGTGTACCAAATGCTCAACTTTATTGGATTATCTATGGTTTATCATCAATCATTATGGCCTAAAATGCCATAAAAATAATCAGAGATGCTAATGTAGCCTTATTGAAAATGTTGTGCTAATAGTTTTTACAGCTATAATCATGGGTGCTCATTGCCAAGTGCAAATTGCAGTGGCGATCATCAAGAGATAATATTCGTCCTTCTCTGGATACATAGTCTAATACTAGCTTATCTGACTGTTAGCCAGGATTGTGATCAATGGCACTTTATCAGATCCAGTTAGTTGGGCAGAAAGGCACTCTCAAGTTTCTACTATGTAAACCAGAATGCTATTATGGTTTTTTATGAGGTGTTGAAACAGGATTAGTAGAAGAGAAAGAACAGTAAAATAATGAAGAACAGCAAATGCTGATTGTACTACTCTCCTAACCTTGAAATTCATCTCTTGTATCATTGTTATTGTGTGAAAAGTTAATTCCAGAGGGTTATGACAATAAATGGTTGGAACACAATAGACAAAATTTAGGACAGAAGCATCTCTTGCTAGAATGGCACTGGATTCATGTAGTAGACATCGAGTTCTAGTGTGAGTTGTGCAATATGAAGAATTAGGTTTGAGCTTTGAGCATTGCTAATTGGGTGCTTGAAATGGACTTTAAATAGATCAATGTTTACGATTTTCTTTCTTTTTTATAGGTTTAAAAAAGGTATGTGGAGGAAAACAACCCCCAAAGGTCTAAAACTGAAGAAGTTCATTGAAGGCCCTCATGGAACACTTATTCATGATAGTTCTTATGTTGGGGAAGATGCATGGGATGATGATCCTGAGTCCCCTCAGGACAATTTGAGAGGAATCATAGAAAAAGATGTAAAATTGGACACAGAAGAAAAAAAGGTGCTAAGCAAAGACTTGAGAATTTCAGGTTAGTTGGTATGTGTGTGGTTGGTTGCTTTGTTTAAAGCTGCTATATGAAGGTTCTTTTTTTTTTCCTTTGCATGTGTGCAATGGAGTGTTTGCATTCATTGTGTGTGCGAGGTTATGTATATATATATTTTTTTTCCTAAATTTTTATGCAAGTTGGTTTTCTTCTGTGTTCAGAGATACTACACAATCATGTCTTCGTTTTCTGTGCTGCTTCTTTTTCTTTTTTTAATTTTCTTATCAAATCAAGCATATGGCAATTATTATGGGGAAAGAAAAAATGTACAAATATTTTAGGGAAAAATGTACAAATATTCCTTTTGTTTCTCTTTGAGCTTACGAACAAGTTTACCATCCTACTACATGATATTTTTTTTTTGTAAATCTGGGAAAGAGGGAATTCCTGGCAGTCAGTATTGCTTGCTAAGTGAAAGAGTGAAGAAAAATGTATCAGTATGCATGCATAGATGTATATGTGTATCCCTATGTATTTCTGACATCAAATGTGCTGCTTTTAAATATTCTGTTTTGTGATAGTACCATAGGTTGACTTATTCTTGGTTTTTGATGGGTTGCCTTTGACAGATTAGTTATTGTTCATCACTCTTAGCTGTTATGTAAATACTATGCCAACTTTAATGGTCTGTTCTGTTTGTTTCTTATAACCTTATCATTTTGCTTTGGCAGTTGAAAATCAAGAAAGTAGGGGAACATGGCGTGAGAGGCTTCAAACATGGAAGGAAATTCTTAGAAAAGAGATATTAGCTGAGCAATTAGATTCATTAAATGCTAAGTACGTTGTTGAATTTGACATGAAAGAGGTGGAAAACAGTCTTCGCAAAGATGTGGTGGAAAAGGTCACAAACACTCAAGGAACCCGGGCATTGTGGATTTCTAAAAGATGGTGGCGCTACCGTCCAAAACTTCCTTACACATACTTTCTTCAAAAACTCGATTCCTCTGAGGTGAAGATTTTATTTTTCTTTGTCGTTTTCTTGTGCGACTTTTCTCCATAATCAGTATTATTAGTTATTTATAGACACTCTAATTTTTGTTCCTTTTATGACCGAACTTGGTGTTCATGTGAGTTACATGAATGCATATCTTGCACGCTTACTTATGCAATCTTTAAGAAGAAGGTGCATTGGTTGTAAAATAGATTTATTTCCCTGTAAATTTAAAGGCCTCATGACACTCTTTATAGTGGAGTCATTATATAAAGTAATGTTGATACAATCCTCAATTATATGAAGAATTCCAGAGGCAGTTTCTAATTACATGCATTTATGGGCAGGTTGCTGCTGTAGTCTTTACAGAGGACCTAAAACGATTGTATGTAACGATGAAAGAAGGCTTCCCGTTAGAATATGTCGTAAGTCTGATATTTTAAATTTTTTCCCACTCTCTGATACCTTATATATTGGAGGTCATGACCTTGCACGATGACAACTGCTATCCGCCCCCGGCGTTGTGGCATGGGTTCGAGTCATGGAAACCAACTTCTCCAGAAAAAAGTGGGGGAAGGCTGCCTACCTATTAGGGGAAGCCTTGTGCACAAGCTACAACCTATCTTTGATATCTTGATTTTGTTTGTGCAATAACTGAAGTGGAAGTCTCCTTGCCTTAAAACTGCTTGATGTGAACTTTATTTTGTAGGTTGATATTCCACTTGATCCTTATTTGTTTGAGACTATCTCAAATTCTGGAGTTGAAGTTGATCTTCTTCAGAAGCGGCAGATACATTACTTTCTAAAAGTTGTAATTGCACTACTACCTGGGATACTGATTTTGTGGTTAATAAGGGAATCTCTGATGCTTCTGCATATTACCTCCAAGCGATTTCTATATAAAAAGTATAATCAACTATTTGATATGGCTTACGCAGAAAACTTTATCATGGTAATTTTTTTATACTCAATTTTCTTCTTCTTCTTCTTCTTCTTCTTTTTTTTTTTTTTTTTTTTTTTTTTTTTTTTTTTTTCTCTCTTTGTTATTCTTTGTCTCACCATGTTCACTATCCATTCAGCCAGTTGAAGAAGTTGATGAAACAAAATCCATGTACAAAGAAGTGGTATTAGGTGGTGATGTCTGGGATCTTTTGGATGAGATAATGATTTATATGGGAAATCCTATGCAATATTATGAAAGAGGCGTAAAGTTTGTTCGGGTAAGTTGTTTTAAAATTTGGAAGAGTGAAGTAGTTTGAGCCGTGTTTATTACAGTCCAATTTGCAATTTAAACTGTTTTATGTTTATGTGCATGACAGGGTGTTCTTCTGTCTGGACCTCCGGGAACAGGTAAAACACTTTTTGCACGGACGCTGGCAAAGGAAAGTGGGATGCCTTTCGTTTTTGCTTCTGGTGCAGAGTTTACAGATAGCGAAAAAAGTGGTGCTGCACGAATTAATGAAATGTTTTCTATTGCTAGGAGGAATGTAAGGACCTTTCCTGTCTTTTGATATACTAGTGCAGCATCTTTTACTAATTGTTTGGTTGTATGTATGGGCTATTTCTTGTTAAAGAAAGCTAGTTCTTATGCTAATTTGTAGACCTGAAAAATGATGTGATACCTTAATCAGTTTCTTATGCAAAATATGAGAGCTTGTATAGTATTTTCCCTACTTGAAATACTTTTGAATGTTCAGTTGGAAGAATCCTTTTGTTAGTTAAATTTTGAATTAACATTTAAAATAATTGAATGTCTGAATGAATACACATGGACTGTTTGAATAATTCAAACCATTATCTTTTCTCCAATGTTTTTTTTTGTTCTTAGAATTCCATAATGATTTATGAACGGACAAGGCAAGCACTTGAAGTATAACTTCGAAAAAGAAATTGAACCTTTAACATTAAAATATTAAAATTAGGGACTAAATGCAATAATGCACATATTTTCATGCAGGCCCCTTGTTTTGTATTTGTGGACGAAATTGACGCTATTGCTGGTAGACATGCACGAAAGGATCCACGAAGAAGAGCAACATTTGAGGCTCTGGTAGCACAGCTTGATGGAGAGTTAGTATCTTTCTTATCCTATTTTTGCACTGCTTGTGTTGCTTTACATTATGGCTCTAATATCACAAAAACTTGAGTTTAGGTTGTTATATCTTAAGGCACTTCCCACTCTACTGGTTGATTACTAGAAAATTGTGGCTAGATGTATAGATAACTACTCGCTCAAAAAAAAAATATATATATATATATATATATAGATAGATAGATAACTACATGCATGACACTTTTCTTCTCCCCTCCTTCCCTAGTTTTCCTCTCTCTCTCTCTCGATAAGCAGTAGATTTCATTGAAGAGACCAACAAGGGGCACTCCTGTTTTGTATGCAATATATACAGATGTGACTGCCTAACTATCTACTGGAATAAATAAATCAACCAATCACTCTACGGAAGAATATCAAGAAGGGGAAGACGTCTCACATAGTCAAAATACTTATTTCAGCTTACAAACTGGGAGGATCCACCATATCAAAATACATGTAATTCCTCTCCATCTGAGAAGCACAAGCATTTCTAAGATGGTGACATGTTCATGTTCGTGTTGTGTCCGTGTTGAACACGTGTCAGGCACCGACGCTCATTAGACACTTCTCAACTTGTGTTGGACACATGTTCAAATGTTTCATATTACTTTTTTTTTTGTTCTAAAAAAAAAAAATAAAAATAAAATTGTTGGACATGGACATGCTTCAGACAGTTGGGATTTGTTAGAATGTGTTAGGATATTTCCTATTTTTATTCTCATTCAGTTTTTTTGTTCTAAAAATAAAAAATAAAAAAAAATTGTTAGACATGGACATGCTTCAGACAGTTGGGATTGTTAGAATGTGTTAGGATATTTCCTATTTTTATTCTCATTCAGTCTCTTTATTTGCTGTAATGGGCCTTTATTTAGGCCTTAACTTATGTTTATGATTTAATATAAAAGGGTATGATAAACCACTCATACCCTAACTTTTTCTCTTCTAAAATTAACATGGTATCATAGCAGAACTAGAAGAAGAAGAAGAAGAAAAAAAAGAAAAGAAACTAGCCGTACCACCACAGCATCAACACAGCACCACCACCTCAGCCCGAAAGCCCCAGGCGAAGCCACAGCACCACCACCTCAGCCCGCAAGCCCCAAGCGAAGGTACCTAGGGTTCCGACAGCCCCAGTCGAAGGCACCTAGGGTTCCGACAACCCTAGAGATGGCAATTCAAACTCGGCCCGACGGGGACCCGACCCCCCGACCCCGATTTAAGCGGTTTTTCTCCGAAAAATATCCCCAACGGGGCGGGGATGGTATTCAAAAATTAATACCCGACCAGTTTCAGGCCGGGGACGGGGATAAGTGTCCCAGCTCCGTACCCGGCCCGGCCCGTCCCCGGCCCCGTCCCCGGTTTATCCCCGAACTGAAATTACTATTTTAGCCCTCTGTATATATATACATCAAACCTCATTGACACTCTCAGTTTCACTTCTCTCACTCTCTCACTGCGTCTCTCACTTCTCCCTCCCTCTCTTCCTCCCTCACTAATTCAGATCCCTCCCTCATCCCTCTCCCTCTTCCTCTCCCTCCCCCTCCCTCACTCACGCAGATTTCTCCCTCTCCCTCACTCACTCACGCAGATTTCTCCATCTCCTTCACTCATTCACTCACTTACGCAGACTCAGAACAGTTGCCACCGCCACCGATCTGAACAGATCTGAAGAAATGAAGAACCCTCTGTCCGTAAAGCACTCCGTTGCCGCCGATCCAAACAGATCATGAACCATGAAGCCTCGGTTGCCCTCTTTCTCTCTCTCTCTCTCTCTCTCTCTCTCTCTCTTTCTATATATATATCTGTTGTTGAAGAACAAATTTTTTTTTTTAAGTTATATATATTTGCTGTTGTTGTTGATGATTGTTGTGTGTTGAAGAACAGATCATGAATTTTACAGAATTTTTTTTTTGGTGTGTTGATGATTGTTGTGTGTTGAACCCTCCATTCTACAGAATTTTTTTTTTTTGGTTGTGTGTTGAACAGATCTGCCGGGGATGTTTTGGAGTCGGGGAAACCCGATCCCCGTTAGGGGACGGGGGCGGGGGAGGTGAGGGGTTCCCCGTCGGGGATCGGGCGCGGGGACGGGGATTTTTCTACCTTCGGGGATCGGGGACGGGGAGTGTCATCTCCGGCCCCGCCCCGGCCCGTTGCCATTCCTAGACAGCCCCAGTCAGAGTCACAGCTCCAGTCGAAGGCACAGACGCAACCCCTAGGGCTTCACCAGCACCCTAGGGCTCGTCGGCTGGCTTGGAGCCCTGTGGTCTGTTTTCGTCGACATCTCTCTCTCGGTCTCTGCATGTAACTCTTTCGTCTTCATCTCTCTCTGTGTCTTCGTAATATGTAAGTCTCTCTCAGTCTGTATTCTCCTCTTCTTAATCTCTCTTTGACGGTCTTCTAAAAAAAAAAGCAAAAAACAAAAAACAAAAACAAAAACAAAAAAAAAACAAAAAAAAAAGGAAAAAAAAATAATGTTCTCTTAAATTTATTTTAAATTTATTATTATATTCTCCCATCTTTCGGGTTTGTGATTTACTCTGGGTGTGTTTGTGAGGGTTCCGTCGTGACGTCTTTATGGCCGAATTGACTAGTGAGTCTACTACTTCGCAGCCTGCTACACAGGGCGCGAGTCCTGTTTTGACTACTTCGATGACCGATTCTCTCCACCCTGGCCAGAAAAATCACAACTTCTCTCTTTAATGGTCAGAACTATCTAGCGTGGTCACAGAGTTTGACTATATTTTTGAAGAGCAAAGGGAAGATGGGATATGTTGATGGGCATGTTCAGGCTCCCAGTATCACCAATACAGGTTATGATCAGTGGGAGATTACCAATTCTGTAGAAATTTAATGTATAAAGAGAAATAAAGAATTGTATTATTGATTCATGTATTGATGTGTTGTGTTTATATTACAATGATTCATGATTCCTATATATAGAAGAGGGTAAGTGTGTAGTAGGTAAGAAGTAGGTGAAGTGGAGGTGGTAGTGGTGTAGTGGGTTAGGTTTAGTGGAGTAGGTGAGGTGGTAGTGGTGTAGTGGGTTAGGTTTAGTGGAGTAGGTTTAAGTGGGTGTAGTGGGTTAGGTTTAGTGGAGTAGGTTTAGGTGGGTGAAGTAGGTGATAAATTTTAACAAATTCTCTTATCATGGGTTGGTTGATACACTCTATGTTTCCAGAGATCGGTGAGGGATACTTGTCTATGGACACAGCACAGGATATTTGGGAGGCTGTGGCCACTACGTATTCCTGCAAAGGTAATTTCTCACAGACTTTTGAGTTGCGATGCTTTATTGACCGGTCCGTTCAGGGTGAGATGACTATTCTCCAGTATTTTACTTTCCTGAGCAATGGGTGGAAGCGACTTGATCATTTTCAGGACTACAAGCCTGTCTGTCCCACAGATTCTGCTAGTTACTGGAAATTTGTTAAACAAGTGCGGGTCTTCAAGTTTTTGAAAGGTTTGAATGTGGAGTTTGATCCTGTTCGGAGTCGTGTGCTTAGTATGAATGCTCTTCCTTCTCTCCAAGAAGCGTTTGCTTATGTGCAAAATAAGGAGAGTCGTCGTTTTGCTATGCTTCCGACTGCCTCTTTTAATTGATCTGTCCTAGTTTCTGCCCCCTCTCGAGATGGGGATCGTGGTTCTCATCCTCCTTCTGAGAAGGATACTCTCTTCTGTGATTTTTGGCGTTGCCCTCGCCACACCCCTAAGACTTGTTGGAAGTTGCATGGGCAACCATTTGGAGGTCGTGGAGACCGTTCTGGTTCTCGAGGGAGTCGCTCCGGACAGTCTCAAGGCCGTGGGCCCAATGCCCGAGCCTATTATTCTGATGCAGTTGAGCCACAGTCCACAGCTCCAGTTGATTCATCTGTTGATATCTCGGGATTTTCTACTTTTGAGTTAGAGGTTGCACTTCGCCACTTGCTAGACCGTCGGGCCTCTAGTTCATCTTCAGGTAATATCGCTCAGTCAGGTAACTTAGGTTCTTCTACAAGTGCTTTCCTCTCTCATCAAACGTTGCCTTAGATTATCGTTTCTGGTGCTTCCGACCACATGTTTGGTTCTTTTGATTTGTTCTCCGCATATAACCCTTCTTCAGGGCAGGATAAAGTTCGAATTACTGATGGTACCATCTCTTCTGTGTCTGAGAAAGGTTTAATTCATGCCACTGCTTCTCTTCCTTTATCTTTTGTCCTACATGTTCCCAATTTTAGTGTTAATCTTTTGTCTTTGAGTCGTATTACTCGGGACTTAAATTGTAGTGTGACCTTTTTCCCAAATCATTGTCTGTTTCAGGACCTTATCACGAGGAAGATGATTGGCAATGGTAGACATGAGAATGGTCTCTATATCTTGGATCAAGCAGACAAGTTGGCTCACTCATCCATTCAGTTTTCATCTACCACGGAAGACATCTAGCTGTGGCACCGCCGTCTTGGGCATCCATCTTTTTTGTTGCTTAAGCATCTTTTTCTCTCAGTTTTTTTGAAAAATAATGTTTCTGAGCTTCAATGTGAGTCGTGTCAACTTGGCAAACAACACAGAGTTGCTTTTGCTCCTTCTATTAATAAAAATTTAGTTCATTTTTCTTTGATTCATTCTGATGTATCCCTCTCGTTTTGTGTCTTTAAAGGGTCAAAAATGGTTTGTCACCTTTATTGATGATTGTTCTAGGACCACCTGGGTGTATCTTATGAAGGACAAATGTGAGGTGTTTTCTGTGTTTCAAAATTTTCATAAAATGCTTTGCACTCAATTTGGGGCAGTTGTCAAAATTCTGCATTCTAATAATGGGAGGAAATACATTGATTCTGGACTTGCCAGCTATTTTGCCACTCATGGTATTATTCATCAAACTTCTTGTACCAATGCCCCTCAACAGAATGGTGTTGCCGAGCGTAAAAACCGGCATCTTTTTGATATTGCGCGTTGTTTATCCTTTGAAATGCGTGTTCCTCTATCCTATTAGGGGGAAGCAGTTCTTACTGCTACCTTCCTCATCAATCGGCTTCCTACCCAGGTTCTTCATAAACAAATTCCTCTTCAGGTTTTATTCAGCTTCCAAGCTTCTACTACCTTCTCCATTCCTTCCAAAACCTTTGGGTGTGTGTGCTTTATTCATAACCATTCTCTTACCCGTAGTAAGTTGGATCCTCGGTCTCTTCGGTGTGTCTTCCTGGGTTACTCCACCACTCAAAAGGGCTACAAGTGTTATCATCCCCCCTCTCGCAAATGGTTTGTCTCTATGGATGTGTCTTTTTTTGAATCTCAGTCCTACTTTCTCTTCTCCTCGGTGTCCCCGTCATCTCTTCAGGGGGAGCCTTGGTGTGAAGAGACTCCTGTATCACTACCATCACCATCAGTTATTGCGACTCCTGATACTATTATTACTAATGACCCAACTATTGAGAATGCTGACTTTCCATCTACAGTGAAAGACGACAAAGTATATGTTAGGGACAAGGGTAGACAGAAAGTTACTTGGGTACAAGAGACCAATTCGGATTCTCCACTGCTATCTTCTTCTTCTGATGAGTGTCCAGAATCCTCTCCTTCTGGTGAACCTCCAGGCAACTCAATTCTTTCTGATCTAGATGTTCCCATTACTAAAAGGAAAGGAGTTAGGTCGTGTACTCAACATCCTATTTTTCATTTTGTCTCCTACACTAATCTGTCTTCTTCCTATAAAGTTTTTCTGTCTAAAGTTTTTTCTGTGAGTCTTCCTTCCAATTTTCAAGATGCTCTTTCTACTCCTGAGTGGAAGCATGCCATGATGGAGGAGATGAGAGCGCTTGCTAAAAATGGCACTTGGGAATTGACTGTGTTACCTAAGGGCAAATGACCTGTTGGATGTAAGTGGGTGTATATTGTAAAGCACAAAGCCGATGGTTCAATTGAACGTTACAAGGCTAGATTGGTGGCCAAGGGTTTTATTTAGACTTATGGAGTAGACTACCAAGAGACATTTACACCGATTGCTAAGATGAATTTTGTCAGAGTCCTTCTCTCCCTTGCCTCTAATCTTGACTGGCCTCTCCACCAATTTGATGTGAAAAATGCTTTCCTCCACAGAGATCTGGCAGAAGAAGTGTACATGGACATTTCCCTACGCTTTGAGGATGTTAAAACCATAGGAAAGGTGTGCCGGTTACGCAAGTTACTTTATGGCCTTAAGCAGTTTCCTAGGTCTTGGTTTGAGAGGTTTACTCAGGCCATGCTGAGATATGGTTTCAAACTGAGTCAAGCTGATCATACTTTGTTTGTGAAACACTCCTCACATGGTAAAACGACAGCCCTCATTGTTTATGTGGATGATATTGTACTCACAGGGGATGATTTTGAGGAGGTTCCTCGGTTAAAGGAGTATTTGGCTAATGAGTTTAAAATCAAAGACTTAGGCAACTTGAAGTATTTTCTAGGCATTGAGGTTGCTCGGTCCAAAAATGGTATCTTTATATGTCAACGAAAGTATGTGCTTGATTTGCTAAAAGAAACGGGAATGCTTGGAAGTAAAGCATGTGATACACCACTAGAGCCCGGACTAAAGCTTAGTGAGGATCAAGGAGGCAAGCCTGTAGACAGGGGGAGATACCAAAGACTAGTGGGTAAGCTTATTTACTTATCCCATTCGCGGCCTGATATTGCTATTGCAGTGAGTATGGTTAGTTAGTTTATGCATGCTCCACATGCAACTCACTTAGAGGCGGTTATGCAGATTTTGAGATACTTGAAATCTTCTCCGGGAAAGGGTCTTTATTTCTTAAAGCATGGTTATCTCAGTGTGGAGGCATATACAGATGCTGATTGGGTTGGCTCAGTAACTGATAGAAGATTCACCTCTGGCTATTGTACCTTCGTTGGAGGAAATCTAGTTACTTGAAGAAGTAAGAAACAAAATGTTGTTGCGCGATCTAGTGCAGTGGCCAAATTCAGAGCTATGATTCAAGGTGTGTGTGAGCTTTTATGGATTAGATTATTATTGTGGGATTTGGGAATTCATCAGACCGATTCTATGAGGCTATACTGTGACAATAAGGCCGCCATTAATATAGCCCACAATCCGGTTCAGCATGATCGGACCAAACATGTGGAGATTGATCGGCATTTGCATTTTATCAAGGAAAAGCTTATTAGTGACATTATATGTACGCCTTTCGTGCGGTCTGGGGATCAATTGGCTGATGTTCTTACCAAAGGATTAGGGATTAAACCATTCTGTGACATTCTCGACAAGCTGGGCATGAGAGATATCTTCGCACCAGCTTGAGGGGGAGTGTTAGAATGTGTTAGGATATTTCCTATTTTTATTCTCATTCAGTCTCTTTATTTGCTGTAATGGGCCTTTATTTAGGCCTTAACTTATGTTTATGATTTAATATAAAAGGGTATGATAAACCACTCATACCCTAACTTTTTCTCTTCTAAAATTAACAGGGATATACATGTCCATCGCTTAAACACACATAAAACACATTATAGGTTTGAACAAAATAAGTAACATAGAGAATACAATGTAAGTTTGTTCCGGAATGGCATGTTATGTCCAAGGGGGCAGAGGAAAGTACGGATCATTAATTATTGTGTTGCCCCATTGCTTTATCTTTATGGTGGAACATATTTTATTTAGCGGAGACTGGTTTGGTTATTCCACCATATTGTGAACATTTATTGTGCATTGATTTTAGAGGTTTTGGTTCAAATATCAAGGCTCGGGCTCTTTGGAGTTGTGTGGTGTGCGTGATTCTTTGGGTTTTGTGGTTAGAAAGGAATGCTTGGATTTTCGAAAAAAAAAAGTTGAAGTCTTTGAAAGCATAAATGATTAACACTCACATCTGTCCTTTGAACATATAACAACCATTCCATTAATATTCACCCTCCACCTAAAGTTATCAAATGTCAAGATAGCATCCCATACGACAGTCCCAAGTAAAAATGGCTACCTTTAATGGTCCCTTAGCACCAAAAAGTTCTTCAACGAAAGAAAGAATTCTCACTCCCATGGATTCGTTGTGCTACAATTCTCTGTGTGCCTCCCATCCATGGAAGCACTCGACCTCACACCATCATCCACCTTGCCCCAGACCTTGACATTGCACTGCAACTCCAAAAAGGCTTCCACTGACTCCACCTCCCATTCTCAAAAGACTATTATAATTCTGAAATGTGAATATAATTCACTATGCAGCGTCCTTTTCCATTACAAACTTGACTAGCCCAGGTTTACTCCATGCTCAAAGGCCGGAGCTCATACTATTAGTGGTGATAGCTTTGGATCTTATGGTTTTATCCCATCATTTTAGAGGATTTTGACTTGAATTGCAACTTTTCGATATAGCTCATATAGTGTGTTTCAAGGATTGAGTGATTCCTATAAATTTGGACATCTTGATATGATCAAAGTTATTTATTTAGTCAACCTTATATTTGAGAAGTGCCGAAAGCAAATGAATTAGATAATTGAAGTCATCTAATGCAACGACAACTTTGAATTGACTATCTTCTAATTTGGCATATCTAGTGGTGGATCTGACATTTGTAGACATGTTCCACAAGTCCAGTCATGATCTTTAAGGATTTATACATTTATAGGTGTCATTTAGTGGGACTGCAAAGTAATACCTGGACGAAAGGGAAAGAATCATATGTAGTTTCTAATGCCCCCTTTTTCTAGTGGTAAGGGTGCATGATACAAGCAGAGCCTTAGTTTTACAAGGATACAATGATTTATGTCTATTTATCTATCTTTTTCATGTTTTAGCTGTTGTCTGATTGTATGTTAGTTTAACTAGCTTCAATTACAACATTTTGGATCTATAAAAAGTTTTATCTTGTGCTAAGATTCCTTTTTCTGATTTTGAATCAAAGCTACTTGTTTTTTTGTGCCGCCTTCTTTAATGAACTCCTCTTTTTTTTTTTTTAATTATTATTATTTTTTTTTTATTATTATTATTATAATTTGGTTATTCTTTTTTCATTTTTAAAAATGGTTATTGATATATGAGTCTTTGTCAAATGTAGGAAAGAAAAAACTGGTGTTGATCGATTTTCACTGAGACAGGCTGTGATATTCCTCTGTGCTACTAATAGGCCGGATGAACTAGACCTAGAATTTGTTCGCCCTGGCCGTATTGATCGTCGTTTATACATTGGTCTACCTGACGCAAAGCAGCGGGTGCAAATGTTTGGTGTGCACAGTGCAGGAAAGCAGCTTGCTGAAGATGTTGAATTTGAACATGTTAGTGGTTTTTCCATTTTTATTATGTCCGTTCGGAATGGTATGTGGTTTGCTTTTTCATCTTTATTATATCCATCTAGTTATATGTAAGTGTCACAACTTTTAAGTTATATTCTTAAATCTAATGACAAAATTCCATTTTCATTGAATGTTTAGTTATACTATTTGATTGGCCTTGTGCCTTGGCTTTTGAGGCAAGTGGCCCTTTTGATCTGTGCCAAGTTATTATTGTACTAATTTTTATTATCTTTCAGCCAAATATGGGGATTATGTGTGACTAAAATCTTGTTATTGCTGGTCCTTTGAGTTGTTGCATTTGTTCTTTATAGTGAGAATATTTTCAGAGCTAAGTTGAGATTTGAGAGTGCAAACAACACTGGGTATGAGGGCTTTGCATGAAATGTTATTTTATCTTCTTCTTCTTTTTCTTTCCTTCTTTCTTTTGTTTTATTTATTTATTTATTTTTCAAGATAAAATCCAATTCAAGTTATGGCATGTAGAAAATCTATGGTTGTACTAGGCTATTCTATTTGTTAGAGCCTGCCAAAGCAGCTGTACTGCTTTGGTAATTTCTCTTCAAAAATTTACTTCTAAACCGGAGAGGTGGCTAATGAGATAATAATCACTAGAATCTGTTGTCTTTCAATTATTACTAAATGAAAAATACTCCAGTTTTGGATTGGCTAGTAACTCGCGTAGTCCTACAATCAGTGGCGAAGTCAGAAAATTAAATTAGAGGGGGCACTTATTAATTACAATATCGAAATTTTTTACAAAAATCTTTCACGCAAGTTTTTACGATTGATTTCGAGAAACATCAGAAAAATAATGTTATACAAAAAACATATGGATATAAGTCTTAAAATAAATTATATAATGATAATTTTTTTTTTATACAAAATTTGATTAAAAATTTAATATAATGGTAATACCACATCATCAATGATATGTGATATCACCAACTAATAGTACATAAACACATAGAGAGTGAACTTCACATGTCAAATATAACTATCAATCCAATAAATTTATTATCTTTGTAGTGAGATTACTTATACTTGCATGTCAATAATAATGACATCACCGTTATATTCAAAATTTTTCATAGATAATATGGTTTATATAGTAGTCTCTTCATTTTCAATTAAAACAATCATTATTGTTCTCATAATTTTTAAAATGTCATTAACATTTCACTCTAATAATATTTTTGTAATTTTTTTAATTTAAAATATTTTCTTTATGTTTGCAAAATTAAAAATAAAAAAATTCTCAAAATCCAGGGGGGCATGTGGCCCCCCTGGGCCTTACCTCCCTCCGCCACTGCCTACAATATGCTTGTGGAGATATGGAAACTAATATGTAATATTGGTTGCAGTTTGGCAGATAACTTTTTTTTGATAAGTAAAGTTTATTAAGAAAACATGATAGGGGGATGCTACCATTGTACAAAATCAGGCTTAGCAGATAATTTTGAATCCATCGTGAAGTCAGTCTTCGATGAAGGCAGGCTGTCAACAAAGACAGCCTCTCTTAATAAGTGGACAGTAGAAAACAACTCTCTCTTAAATTGTGGAGATTTATATATGATTGTTCCCATTACAGAAGTGGCCGCCGAAGTTATTCCCCTCAGTAATGCTTTCCACGCTGAACCTTGGATCTTTCAGAACTCAAAGTTGAGCTCCACAACTTAGTTTGATTAGAGGGTTTCTTGTGTAAATGTCCTTTGATTGTCATTTCTAGGTTCATTGGGCTGTTTGTTCTATTATCTATTAATGTATTATAGGTAATTGCAGTTGCATTGAGGTTTTGCATTTAACATGTAAGTTTCTGGAGTGCTTTTCAGATGGTTGTTAACAGCATTGGTGCTCATTTCTTTACATTTCACACTTACCATTGTGATTTCTAAATTCTATGTATATGTAAACTTTTCATCTATTTTCAGCACACTTTTGTTTATTTTAAAATGTTTTTGTTTCCCACCTAATCTTGCAGCTTGTTTTCCGAACTGTTGGTTATTCTGGAGCAGATATAAGAAATCTTGTGAATGAAGCAGCAATAATGTCTGTAAGTTAATTCTTTATACACTTTTCCTGAAAAATATATTTTGTATTTTCAATTAAGTACACATTAAAATGGATGCCTTAATGAGCTTCTCATGCATGTGCACTCACTTTTTGGTGAGAATGGAACGTATTCAAAAAGATGTATTTAGTTTGATATACTAGAAACAAAATGAAACTGGCATATGCTCATATTTGTACAGTTGCAGGTCCATTGCTCTTGGTTCATTTATGATATTAGCAATGTATGCCAACGCAATGTAGAGGTGTTTTACAACTTTGTTCAATATGTAGGTGAGGAAAGGACATTCTAAGATCTACCAGCAAGATATCATTGATGTGTTAGACAAACAATTGCTTGAGGGTATGGGTGTACTTCTCACGGAGGAAGAGCAACAGAAATGTGAACAAAGCGTACGTTTATCTTTGTTAGCATTACTTATAAAAGTGCAGGTTTGCATATGATGTGAGTGTGATCATTGGGTGGGCGTGCTTATCTAACAGGTATCTTTTGAAAAGAAGAGACTACTGGCAGTACATGAAGCTGGCCATATATTGCTGGCACACTTGTTTCCTCGATTCGATTGGCATGCTTTTTCTCAACTCTTGCCAGGTGGCAAGGTACAATTTCTGGCTGGGTTGCATGGACTCTTCTAAATTTGTGAAGTACCTGTGTTGGACGCTTGGTACTTGAGTCTGTCGGGGTATGAGATATTTGTCCAGCATGCTTAGTTGGACTTGCATCCATCAAGTATGTCTATGTAGTTGATTTTATATAACTATGCATAACACTCTCAATTTATGCATAAAATGCTCTATGTTAGGTATTGAATATAGGTATTGAAGGAATATGAAAGCTAGTCATGCCCTCATGTCCTGAGACACGAGAATTAGATGAATCCCACACTTAAACACGTACCCGCACCCGAGTCCATGCAACATAGATTTCTGGTGATAGTTTTGGATATTAACTGAAATAGGACTTATTTAACACAGCTCCTTTCAAATTTGAGCAGGAAACTGCAATATCTGTATTTTACCCTAGAGAAGATATGGTTGACCAAGGTTATACAACCTTTGGCTATATGAAAATGCAAATGGTTGTAGCTCATGGTGGGCATTGTGCTGAACGGGTTGTCTTTGGTGATGACATAACTGATGGAGCAAGGGATGATCTAGAAAAAATTACAAAGGTAAGTACATCTTATCATATAATATATAAATAGGATTATTTTTGCTGATGTTTTCTGTGCTTTAATTTTGTACTCAAAAGGTCAATGGATGTTGAGAATTTCTAAATTGCTTCTATTTGTTAGCGTCCATCAAAGGAGCATGTGTTTTTAGACTTGCCCTTAGACATTTAGGATATTTTATTTATAGAAGTATCAAGTCAAATATTTTTCTTGTCCTCTGACTGAAATCTCTCTTGCTCTATTGCTCCCTTAACGCCATCAATTACCATTTTTGGCCATAGCTACACAATTAATATTCCTAATTTTCTCTCTTAAAAATTTCTCTCTCTCTCTCTCTCTCTCTCTCTCTGTATATATATAAGGCCAAGTTTGGGTAGTTTAAAAAAAGCCAAAAAGTTAAAAAGTTACTCAAAAAGTTAAAAAGTCATCACTATTCACCAAAAGTCAACAATTACGGCTGCACAATTCTCAATTCTAATTTTCTCCTACAAACTAATTTTTACAATTTTTTATTACACATTTTTCCATAAAAAGTCAAAAAGTTAACCCAAACATTCATATTTTCAATCTCAACTTTTTAGTCTAAAAAGACAAAAAGTGCACTTATTTAGTCTTCCCAAACTTGGCCTTAATTGTTATGCTTTCTGTTGCAATGTTGGCAGTTTTGGGTATTGAACCCTCCAGCTACTCACTCAATTTGCCTCTCCAGATTGCTCGAGAAATGGTAATAAGCCCTAGAAATGTGAGGCTGGGGCTTACTGCATTGACAAAAAGAGTTGGACTGGTGGATCGACCAGATAATCCTGACGGCGAGCTGATAAAATACAAGGTATATTCTTCTTTCTACCTTGGTGACGTATCTTATTATTATATTTTGTCACTTAATATTGTTAATCAACTAATATTCCTTCATGTTCTTGATGATGATTTTAGTGGGACGACCCTCATGTGATTCCTGCCAATATGACAATGGAAGTTTCAGAGCTATTTACTCGAGAATTGACAAGGGTAACTCAAATTTCCCTTTAACACATAGTTTTACACTAATTGGTGGCGTACTCAGATATAAACAAGCTCTCTTACATTATGATCAACAACATGTAGTTATGGCTTTGTTTATACGTGTACTTTGCTTTCATGCTTTCAATACTTGTTTGTGTTCAGTCTGTACAAGGACATTAAATGTATCATTCAACTCAAAAACGAAAGTTTGGTTGGATGATTTTTACATTTTTCATTCAATAACACAACCAATTATATCCGTTCTATTGAAAATATTCCTCATCTTGTATATACCTATTATCTTTTGCTCTTATTACATCTTCGTTTAGTGTAAGCGAGCTATAAAAGTACCTACATGCATATAGAGGATGCATCCGTTTTTACAAGGCAGTATCTTTGCTTGTATGCTTTCTTTTCTTCTTTGTTTTAAATAGAAAATAATGAGATTTGATTTTGGTGGCAGTACATTGAAGAGACACAAGAACTTGCAATAAAAGGTTTGATGGATAACAGGCACATACTGGATATGATTGCAAGGGAACTACTGGAAAAGTCAAGGATAACTGGATTGGTATGTGAATGATCATCTATTTTGCATTCCCTCTTATCTTGATGTAAATTTAGTTCAATTGCTTCAGATTTGTGTCACCATGTAGTTTTCCACAATTCATCAATTTCCTGTCAAGTTGAGTCATACTCATTGCATTCCATTTGTCAAACTTTTTTGTCTCCTTAATCTGTCCTAAGTTGTTTCTTTTTTTTAATTTATTTTTTATTATATTTTTTTTTCCTCTAGGAGCATGTGTGATTAATTGAAGATTTTATGATGTATTTTATGCATCTAGCTTAGTGATATCTATATATTAAAATGATGCGTACATATTGTTATTTACTAATTAATTGAATATCACTTGAAACGGTACCATGGCATTTGCCATCAATGCTAAGGGTTAAAGTGCACATTTGTTTCTGTGGCACAATCTCTTGAACTCACAATGCAGGGATTGAAGATTTTATGACGTATTGTATGCATCTAGCTCAGTGATATCTATATATTAAAATGATGTGTACTGGAATTTACTAATTAATTGAATATAACTTGAAACAGTACCATGGCATTTGCTGTCAATGCTACGGGTTAAAGTGCACCTTTGTTTCTGTGGCACAATCTCTTGAACTCACAGTGCAGGGATTTGGTCATCGTAGCAGATTCAACTCCCTCTAAAGCATGGTCTCGTGGGGGCAATATGTACACAACCACCCACATTTTGGAAAGGTTGATTATGTGACTTGAAACTGCGTCACTTGGACACTAAAAAACTGTAAAAAAATTATTTATGGAGAATATTTAAGGGACTTAATGGAAGGGCGGAATGAAATTATAAATACTTCTATCTTACATGTATGTTATGATGCAGAGTGAACAAGTAGAGAGAGAAGCTGAATATAGAGGAGAAATATGGGAGAATAGGAAATATTTGTCCCCAAAAATGTGTTATAAAACTAATTTGAAGCAGGTGGGGATTTTAGAATGAGAATATTGTACCCTCAATAGTCTTAAACTAGAGAGATATCCCCTCCCAATGTTGCCATTCTAATTGAAAGACTAACATTACTGCCTCTAATGCTATAGGTGTTAGACAATATGGCATTTATTGTGAGTAAATTGTTTGTTCATGATTCATCAAAAAATGGTGGTCATTATCTTTTGTTGTGTGCACATGAAACCTTTCTAATCATGTTTGTTGTTTCGTTTCATAGGAAATTGAAGAGAAAATAAAAGGATTTTCTCCAATTATGTTTGAAGATTTTGTTAAACCTTTCCAGATAAACTTGGAAGAGGTAATTTTCTTGTTCTTCTCATTTGTTTCAATTGTACTGATAATGTGATGAAATTTACCAATGATAAGGAAAGCTGAGTCCTTACCAAACCAAATCAAACCAAAGTCTCGTGTATCAATCGAGGTTGGCTACAAAAAGATGCAGGTCTATTAAATATTTTAAAATGTGAAACATAGAACTATTAATCGACTCTCATTTTTGAATGAGTAGTACTGCATCACCGACAAAGATATTCATGGTATCTTGCAGCTTCTATCATCCTGTCTAATAGTGGCACAAGATTATTCTATTTATCATAAACAAAAAAAAGGCAAGAAATTGTTTGGGATTAGCATGTATACTTCAATTTCTATACTTTATTTAAGGTTGTTATTCCTGCTATACCGTATTTTTATTTTTTTATTTTTTTATACATTATAGGTTGTAGCCTCTGGGAGGGGGAGTCTTGCTTGTGGCAAAACTTGAACCCTTGACCTGTTAGTGAATTTTTTTGTTTTGGGGGGTACACTGGAGGCTGTAGCCTGGAGAGAGGGAGTTTTGCCTATGTCAAGATGTGAACTCTCGACTTAGAGAGGTCCAAGATATTATGCCAATTGAACCAGTCCCAATTGGTTTGCCATACCACATTTCCTAATCTTTAGACCAATGTTAGTTGCTGGTTGTTTCATAATTAGTGGCTTGCTGATATCTTGCAAATGGTTTTTGCCTAGACTTGATTTGCCACTTTCAATTAACACTACGAACCATAGTTTTCTTTTGAGAAGAGTTCTGTTTAGCTTAATTTTATCACCATTCTTGAATTTCTTTCAGGAGGGACAGTTGCCTCACAATGACCGTTTGCGTTATCAACCGTTGGACATATATCCTGCACCACTGCACAGAAGTTAAAGCACTAGTGTGTGTCTCCCCATTTGCTTTATCAACTGTTGGACGCGTATCCTGCACCATTGCACAGATGTTAAAGCACTAATGTGTGTGTGTGTTCTTCCATGTGAATCCACTGTTGGTGGCAATGGCATTGGCTATTTGTGATGGTTGCTTTGGTTGCTCGGTGAGGGAATGGTTGCTTTCATTGCTGGTTTGAGGGAATGCAATTGCTATCTGCTGACAAGCCAAACAACCAGAGTAACTCTGTTTACAACCAAATACAACTTATACTAGTTGAAGCCAATTAGCGAATGAACTCCAGGACCAGGGCAGCTAATGTAGACTGAGATTAGGCAATGTCTCTGTAAACATGCTGAAGCAGCAGCATATTGTGTTCATTATATTTACAACGATCAATCTTCTCATGCACAATTACTCTATGAATGTTAAGTAACAATATTGAATCTTAATCTTCTTGAAATGTTGATGATTCTTTTAACTTCTCAATTCAAGTGCTAGACCCATGTATGAACAAAATTTGTTCATTTTGAATTTCTGATATGTTCCATCTCCTTGCCCAAGTGACAGTTATGCAAATTTCCATCTACATTACTCATTTTAGGGCAGTGCAACTTAGCATGCAAAGTAAAAATTTGGTAATTCAAGCCCTAGAAAAAAAAGAAATACACCTTTCTATAGTTCACACATCAATATCAATGGGTACAAACAGAATAACCAACTAAAGTTGCCATTATTTCACCACCATATATTTGGCCGCAGCTTAAACTGTAGCATAGGCATTTAAACGAAAATTATTCACTCGTCCCAGAGGTAAAAAAAATTTCCCCCTAGAAATATTTGTACACAAGTGACTGATTCCCCTCCTACAAGAATATTAGGGCTCACAAATGATCATATTAGTGGTGAGTTCGGATAAAATTTGCTTATTGGGAACCCAACCAGAGTACATCTGAGCCAGGTTACAATTTACTGGTTGGAACCCCGACAGCTACATCCCTTGATCTCCTTTCCACAGTGCGTGAAAGCTGCTTCACTGCCTCTTTTGGTAGATGGCGAGGCCGACTCAGCCAAAGTCCTCCATCAACAGCCATGGTCATCCCATTAATGTATTTACCTTAAAATAAAAGTACACAGAAGAAGCAAAACCTTGCAATGAGAAAGAAAAATAAAAAATTGCACAATTGTCCCTTCAAGATTTTAAATGCCATGTAAGCCTCAGACAGAAAAAATAAAAAAATAAAAAAAATTGCTTCACTATCTATACACACCATCAAAAAGCAAACTGAAAAACCAACAGCAGAACATCTTTATATACTCCACACTGAGAGAGAACATTATGATTTTTAGTACATCCACTTTTAGCAGTTGTTTCAACCACATATCCCAAAGCACTGCTTATTCGTAAATACCACTTAATTCGGCTGTAGAGTTAAATGAAACTACAAAACTACACCTAATTAAGTTCCCATTTGCTGGGGGGTCTGGGAGGAGTAGATTGGGTACCAAGTATAAACCTAACTTTTGGCATAATTTGGACATAGTGGCTGGTATGAAACTACAAAACTACGGCTAGTTGAGTACCCATTTGATGGGGGTCTGGCAGGTGTAGATTGGGTACAGAGTATAGACCTAACTTTTGGCATAATTTGGACAAAGTGGTTGCCCTTAGGTTCAAACTTACAACCTCAAGGTTAGTAAGCCGAGTTTTGACCACTGAACCAGAGCTAAATGAAACTATCCCCCTTAAAATTTTAATATTGTCTTTCTTCATCTCGATTTTCTTTATTTGAAAAAAATGTTGGATAAACTTCTAACTTAAGCAGCAATGCATATGGTGCATCTGTGGAGTTACGTGTTAATGCAAGACAATGAACATATTTCCAAAATTGAACAGACAGGAAACAACCACCACCATTCTTCTTTAGCAGAATGTTGTGCCGACACAAAGTTATGAACTCATGTGCAAAGTCAGTTACGGTATGGGTGTTAAGGTTGAGCAGATAAGAAAAGCTGGAAGAATCGAATAACCCCTTAACCCCAAGGCACCCCACAAAGAGATATGTGTTTCATACTCAATCACATAACATATAAGAGAGCAAGACTGCTGATTGAAATGGTTAGACAAGCATAAAGATCATAATTAAGAAGCAATGCATGATTTAACAGAGTGGAGCAAAATATCTGAAAACAAAGGATGTCACAATAAAGAAACAAAGTGCCTATCAATTGATTAAACAATGGCCCTACATGGAGAAGAAGAGTGAAAAATGAATTGGTTAGCCAACTTCAAATAGTTGAATATTGTATGGTTTAGTTATTTAATATAAATATTCAGGTCTTCCAATTGAATGATCTTATTTAAATATAGAAAAAGTTGAATGTGATAAATATAGAGAGCATAAGTATACCAACCAGCATCTGATGCAAGATAGAGAGCAGCCATCGCAATATCCCATTTCTCCCCAAGCTTATACAGGGGCATGTAATCTTTAGCTTTGCTATTAATCTCCTCAGGAGCAAGTTTACTCATGCCAGCAGTATCCCCTATGGGGCCTGGAGCGATTCCATTGACTCTGATATCATAGTCAGTGCCCCACTCCAGTGCCAAGTTTCTTGTAATGGCATCAACAGCTGCCTGGTGGAGAAGGAAGACTAGTGATGAATTTATATTTTTTCGAAAGTAAAAAATCACAATGTGAGCAAACACATGTTACAAACCTTGGCTGCAGAGACATGGATTTGATACCAAGCTGCAGTGTAATGCAAAGTAGCACTGATATTCAGTATTGTTCCACCGCTAGATGAGCACCTTCCTGGACCACCTTCCTTAAGATATTCAAGTGCTTCATGGCACATTGTGAACGTGCCAACAGAATCAATATCCATAACTGCAGAAATTTATTAAACATAAATACACTTGAATCAATACTTTTTTCAGAGTCTATAATCAGTGGGTATTGATCCTATTAGCTAAAGCTGGATTTTTCTTGGTCTTTTGGCCCCTCATGTAAAACCCTCATCTATCCTGATTTAAATCCCTTTAAGAAATTAATTAGTTGCCTATTAAAAAATGGCCACTCTCTCTTTCTTTCTCTAAATATACCACACTCATATTCCTTCCTCTCTTTACAGGAAAGAACGAAAAAAAGAAAAAGGAAAAAAGAAGAAGAATGTGATCAGCTTTTCCCCTAGATATTCCAATGATAATAGGCATTAAGAGATGTATTATCATTTATCCAAATTCCATAAATTTTGAAACCTTCTTTAGATTTTTCTTGAACAAGATGACCAAAGATTAAACCTCTCAAATTCTATATTAAGGCTTACTTTAAGGATTCCAATACTGTTTAAGAGCCAATTCACCAAACTAGCATGCAGAAATAACCAATTTGAATACTAACTCGAGGTTTAGTTGTCACCGTAAGTGTTTTTTTTTTTTTTTTTTTTTTTTTTTAGGGAAGAAATGGATCTCAACTATTGAAATGCATATGCTGATATCAAATAGAACTTTGATAAACACATCCATATAAAAGACTTAAAATGCATGGCATATGTTGATTGCATCTTGAGAAGTGTCTTAAAACATCACCTGTTCGAAACCCATTAGGGGACAAATCCTCAGATGATGCAAGAAAATTCCCGGCTGCAGCATTAACAAGAATGTCAAGCCTGCCAAAATGTTTAACAGTTGATTCCACAACTCTTTTTGCATCTTCCCGTTTACGAACATCCCCCTCAAAGCCAACAGCCTGAGAAACAAATAGCAAAATGGAAGGAAATGATGAGATTACATAGGATTAGTGAATTCAACGTGCCATGCTAAATTTGGTAAATAACAAATGAACGAATCCAGTAAAATATTTTGAAATGGGGCAAGTGGTCTTATAACCATCACCAGGTTTGTTGAACCTTAAACCAAGGCAGTCCAACAATCTGTTGTTGTGATCACACAAATTAGGCAGTCTTTACCCGGCAGGTAAGTGCATATTCCCCGATAATCACAAATATTAATTTGTCGATGAAGGGAATAAATAGTTGGTTGTATTTTGTAAAGTATTGGCCCGAAAAGTAAAAAGTATAATTCTCTCCAGAAGCTTGGCGGCTGTGGCCCTATTTGATGCAGCTTATTGAGAAACTAGAGGAAGATAGCAACTTTCAAGTTGCAATAAGCTACAACAGAAGTTGCAAGAAACAATAGCAACAGAGCCCTTGCCAGCAGCCATATCCATCCATCACGGATCCAAAACTAAAGACTTGGAGTTTGGTAACCATATGAGATCCAAAAAAATAAAAAATTAAAAAAAAAAATTGCATAACCTCACACCTGCATTGGGAAAATTTGAGCTACGTAGCATTGTCGTATTATTTGTCGATGAAGGGAATAAATAGTTGGTTGTATTTTGTAAAGTATTGGCCCGAAAAGTAAAAAGTATAATTCTCTCCAGAAGCTTGGCGGCTGTGGCCCTATTTGATGCAGCTTATTGAAAAACTAGAGGAAGATAGCAACTTTGAAGTTGCAATAAGCTACAAAAGAAGTTGCAAGAAACAATAGCAACAGAGCCCTTGCCAGCAGCCATATCCATCCATCACGGATCCAAAACTAAAGACTTGGAGTTTGGTAACCATATGAGATCCAAAAAAATAAAAAATTAAAAAAAAAAATTGCATAACCTCACACCTGCATTGGGTTGAAAATACTCCAAACATACAAAGCTGATTTAAATATCCACACAGATTAGAGAGTGACTGATAATTGACGGTGGAAATCCAAAAAATAAAATCAACCAGAAGATAAATTAATAATTAAAGCCCAGATGAGATGAGTATATGAATGAAATGAATTGAAATAAATAGAAAAGAAATCAGAGGAATTCAGGGGGATTGAATTGAAGAGTAGGGAATGAGAAGCATGAAATCAGATAATTCATTAAAAGAAAAAAACAAGCCCTAGTGGTGTAGCATAAAAATTAGAATGGAATGGAATGCAATAATAATAATAAAAGAAAAAAAGAGTGAGTAGCGTACCGGAATAGAGAGGGAAAGGAGAGTGGAAACAGAAGAATCGAGAACTTGGTTGCGGCGGCCCATGATGGCGATGGAGGCACCATGTTTGCCAAACTGCTTGGAGATCTCGAAGCCAATTCCAGAACCACCTCCTGTCAACAGTGCTACTTTCCCTTTCAGTATATCTTCCTTGAACGGCGACTCCATTTTCTTCTCAATTCAATAATTATTTCTCTTTCCCCTTGAAGATGGTTGGTGGCCGCCAAGGTGGACTTTGGTTGGTTGCCTTCCTATTGTTGCCAACCAATATTGACTTGGATGATCACCCCTTTCACACATGGGTGAATTCAACACATTCAACTCAAAAGTGTAACCACACTTAAAAAAAAACTCCTCAAATTATTTAAAAAATTAATTAATTTTTTAAAATCGTATTTTGAAAATACGATTTTAAAATTAAAATTATATTTTTAAAAAGTGAAATTCATGTCATTATAAATTATATTTTTAATATGCGATTTTAAAATAAAATTACATGTTTTTTTTTGTGGTGAATATGAAATTGCGTGTTACAAATGTAATTTTAATTTAAAATTACATTTTTAAAATGTGATTTCAAAAAATAATTTAATTTCTTAAATAATTTCAAAAGTAAGTCATTTTTCTAAATTGTTTTTTTTAGAATATTTAAAAAAAAAACTCAATTATACCCATAATGTCAAATCAATAAATGTGTAAATGAAAATATGTTTTCACAAAGGTCGATCAATTTTTTATTTTTTATTAATGTAAATTGGATATTTTCTCCTATGCTATGTGAATGTGATTGAGGCGCATTTGAAAATATTAATAAAAAGTCAAAATTAATTTTTTAATTTTATAAAATTATATTATTTTTTATTTTTTTATATAAAAAAATTTAAAAATTTAATGTTTTATATCTTCCCAAAAAAAATCACCGATTCATGGTGGTCGCAGCTTTACCTTCGTGCGCTGTTTATCCAACAATAGTTGCCAATTCTTGTACCAATTTTTTTTTCTTTTTTAAAATTCTTCTAAAGTTTTACTTTGTTCTGAGGAAAAAATATCATGGATTTGGAATTTCTTTATTTATGGATACTATTTTTTTTCCCTCAATTTTTTTTTGGTTCTAGTCCGTGTGCCCATTAGTAGAGCTGAGTAAGGAATCCGTGAAATCCGTAATCCGATCCAGTCCAGTCTAATCCAGTAGGTTTGGATTGATTTTTTGAATCCGTGGTTCAGTTCCGGATTGAAAAATTAAAAATCCGTAGTTCACGGATTGGTTCCGGATTGAATCTCACGGTTCCGGATTGGAATCGATCCGGACTGTATACAAATAGTTTATATTTTTATTATACACTCTCCTGCATAGTATTTTCTCTTATTTCATATAAAACTTAAATCCAAACTTAAACTTGCATGGTATCTTCTTTTATTACTTTTGTTTACTAGTTTTTAGTGTTAATTTGTAATGATCTAAATACTTATGGTGGAACTAGTTTCTTTATAGTTGTTTAAATTCTAGAACAGTTTGTCGCTATTATGAAAAGACATGTTGCTATTGTGAAACTAATATGGTGCTATATTTATATTTTTATGAAAATAAAGTGTTATATATATTTTGTTATTTAATTATATAAATCCGTGATCCTAAATCAATCCAATCCATATTTAAATGGATTGGTTCCACGATTTAAACGGATTAGATTGGTTCTAATTTTTCAAGATCCGTAGATAACGGATTGGTTCTGGTTTTATTCCAATCCGGACCATGCTCACCCCTACCCATTAGTAGTGTGCAATTATGTGATTATATACATTTTATTATTATTAATATTAAGTGAACATATAATTATATAATATTTTTAAAATAGGATACTTTTTCATAAATTTATTTTCACCTACTTATATTCTATTTAATTCACATTATTTTTTTATATTCCAATAAGTCATATGGGTGTGTTAGCTGTATAATTTGTTTAAGCCAATCACAATTCAACGCGTGGCATAAAAAGAGCAATTTGGGGAGGTAATACAAATTGCCAATCATAGTCAAGCACTGTTAACCTATATTGGTAATAATGGGTCTGCGTAGCACTGGAATAATCAAGAAATATAAGGTAATGTGGCCTAACGGTTACTCACAAGGTTCAAATTCAAAATCAAGAAGGAAGTCTAACTGCAAACATGGCGTAGTGAGACTGACTGTGAGAAAGCATGTTCAGCGATCATGGAGGGACATTTCAACAGTTAGGAGCCCGCTTCGACGATTATCATTGAGAAGTATAAATAGCAGAGAAGGCCCCAAAAAGGGGATCCAGACTCAGATCAAAAATTAGTTTTATCTACTTTATTTTTCCTTCTAGTTTTTATAGTTCTTTACATTTCTGTACTTCAAATTCCTGTATTGCACTTCATTCATAGGAGCAGTTTCAAATAGCTTGTTGCTGTAAACCTCTACGAGGCTGGGTTAGATCATTGTACGTTTTTCATTTTTACTTAATTAAATACTGCAATTATTCTTCACTTAATTGTCATTTACTAATATGGTTCACTTAATGAAATGCTGTAATTATTCTTCACTTAATATGGTTCTAGTAATTTCTAGGTCCCAAAGGAGGAAAATCTAGCAAAGGTACACGCAGTACCAAAAGGATTTGAAGGAAAGTGGGAAGAGTTCTTCATTGGCCCAGCCAAAAGGTCAGACAGAGGAAAGAGAAAGTTCAAAATTGGACCATAGTCTAAAATCGACTTCTCAGAACAGAAGGAGTTTCAACAAAGAACAGTTGGCTAAAGTTTACTCTGAATTGAAAGCCAAGGAAATATCCAACTTAGCAGGTCTTGACAAGGCTTTGATGGAAAGCGACAGTGAGACAGAAGGAGAAGTTGACCTAGGACAAAGGAAATAGATAGTTGAGGAAGAGATGTTTGAAGCCTTCATGGATGAACATACATTTTTGGTTGAAAAACCAACAAGAACAGACCATTCGAAGGAAGTCAATAGTACTAAAGTGCCAGAATGCAGCATGGAAGATGCTTCTGAAGTAACTGAACAAGTTAGCCTAGAAAAGAAGCAAGTGCAGCCAGTAGTTCAATTTGGCTTATTTCCTCCAGTATCAGTGAATATGGTGCATATACTACCACAGGAGTTCCAAGCTGAAGATGGCAACCAAGAAGGTCAAGAGATTGACCCTATTCCAGTTTCTAGTGAAGATTCACAGGTTGATATGGTTCAAGATGAATATGAAGTGGCCACACCGATGGAAACTGAGGATGAGAGTGAAAAAGAAGTGAGTATTAATCTTTCATATCCTTTTGAGTATCCTACAACATCCACGACACAACATGTCAAGCCCTTGTATATCAAGACATTTTTTGATAGGATACAGATGAATAGAGTATTAATGGATAATGGAGTAGCGGTGAACCTGCTTCCGAAATCTTCTTTGACGAAACTAGAGAAAAGGAACCCCAGATTAATTCCAACCAGCATAACTATTACTGGTTTTGCTGGAGATAAACAGATGGCTCAGGGTATTTTGCCCATCAACCTGAGTGTAGGAACCAGAGATTGTATGACGGCATTCTTTGTTATTGACAGCAATGCTAAGTATAATGCTTTACTTGGCAGGGATTGGATTCATACCAACAAATGTGTGCCTTCCTCTTTACATTAGAAGATAATGATGGCCTTGTGTAATGAGAGATAGGGGAGATCAGTGCAGACCCTTAACCCTTTGTCGCTTGTGCTGACTTTGCAGAGGCCAAGTTGTATACTGAAGGAGTAACACCACTCAGTATATTGAGAAAACCTAATGGTTCAGCCGAAGTGACGGCTGATGAGGAAGTAGCACACTTGAAGCACTTGGTACAAGAGAGTGCTGATGAAGAATTCGTCGTCAAAGATGATAATGATGCCTGATTGTAGGCAAGAATATGAAACCCAATAAGCCAGACCTTTGGCTTTAGTCAAGTTCACAACATTGAACTTAAAAGCAATAGTCCAAAAGGTTTAGGAACAAGAAAAGGAAACCATGGTAGTTGGCTGTAAGCATAAACAACAACAGGTCAGACTTTTGACCTTTGATAAATACTGTGCATTGGATATTGAAACAAAAGTCTAGGATATACAGGAGGAAGAAGCCTTATGGACAGACTTTGTCTATGAGGATGAGGGCAAAAATGTTGAATCAGAGAAAATGAGAACAGAACAAAGCAAAGAAATTGCTTCGAAGACAAGAAATCAAAAAAGAAACATTAGTGAGTTTTCAAATACAAGACTCCTTGGAAGAAGTTAATTTAGGGGAAGGTTCTACACAGCAACCCACTTACATCAGTGCTTGGTTAAGTGCTCTTGACATGGACCAGTTGTTGATGGTCTTAAAGAGATATAAAGATTGTTTTGCATGGTCTTATAATGAATTGTCAAGATTGGATAGGTCATTAGTGGAACTTAGGCTCCCTATGAAGCCTAATTTCAAGCCATACAAGCAGAAACCAAGAAGGATGAGTCCTGAAGTGATTCAGAAGGTCAACGAGGAAATTCTTAGGCTCCTTAAGGCAAGCTTTATTAGAACAACTAGATATGTTGAATGGTTATCCAATATTGTGCCTGTGGTTAAAAAGAATGGTAAAATAAGGGTATGTATCGATTTTAGAAACCTGAATTTAGCAACTCCAAAAGATGAGTACCCCATGCCCATAGTAGATTTATTGGTGGATAGTTCAGCAGGGTACAAGATTTTATCAATGATGGATGGGCATTCTGGTTATAACCAAATCTGCATTCCAGAAAAGGATGTCCATAAGACAGAATTCAGATGTCCTAGGGACATTGGCACCTTCGAATGGGTTAAAATGCCATTTGGTCTAAAGAATGCTGGGGCTACATATTAAAGGGCTATGAACACTATCTTTCATGATCTCATTGGAGGGTATTTAGAGTGTTACATTGATGACATTATATTAAAATCCCAATCCATGGAGGAATATTTGTTTTACTTGGAAGCAGCTTTCGAAAGAATGAGAAAGTTCAAGTTGAAGCTTAATCCTCTCAAATGTGCTTTTGGTGTATCAGCTAGAAACTTCTTGGGCTATGTAGTACACAAGAAGGGAATACAGATTGATCAAAATAAAGCCAAAGCCATCATTGAAGCCAAGCCTCTATCAAGAAAGAAAGAAGTACAAAAATTCCTTGGACAGGTTAATTTTTTTCGAAGA